GACCAGAAAGCTGAGGATACCTCCGGCCTGCAGCAGGTCTCTCTCCCAGCTCAGCCTGGGAGAATGAGAAGCTTGGCACAAAAGGAGAAGTAACGGCCAATCAATGACTAGTAAGTTAAAGCGCTAGTATTCAGTTCTGCCATAGACAGCTATACAACTCAGAAACTCATTTCACCTTCTACAATAACGTCTACCTCCTGTCCAAAAGGACTGTTTGAGCTTTCTCTGAATTTTAGGAAAACTCCAATACAAACTGATTTCTATGCCCTACAGAGGACTAAGCAGAGAGACTCGCATATATATTTAACTTTCTTAATTCTGCTAATTAAAAAAATGACTCAAGTACCATTATTAATAATAAGCCCTGCTGGCTTGTGCTAAAGTCTAGCATGCACGCAGGCACACAGAAAGAAGACATCTTTCGTGGGACACCTGAAATTCTCCAGCCATTCTTCCTGAAGTATTTTTTTTAAAAATCGAGATGTAATTCACATCACACACAATTTACTCTTTTAAAGGGTACAATTCAGTATTTGGACCAAAGTTGGGCGACTACCATCACTAATTCCAGAACACTCTGTCTCATTACCACCCTAATCCCTCTCCTTTAGGAGTCATTCTCTCTTCCTCCTCCCCTGGACTCTGGCAACCACTAATGTCCTCTCTCTACGGATTTTTCCAGGCTTTTCCGTGAAACTGAAATAGAGAGATGAAGTGGTTCACAGAGTTGCAGGAGTCACTTAGGAAGAGAACAAGGTTAGAACACTAAGTACGTACGGTAACTTCTAAGTGTACAAAAAAAAAACCCAAAAACAGATGAGTGGAAATATGCTTCGATCACCTGTATGTATTCTAACGGTAGCTATAGACACCTAATGTTAAAGCTGAGTCCTTAGAATAGCCATTCTCAGGCAGTGTGTCTGGCCGGGGAGAGCCAAGGGGGGGGGGGGTTAGTCAGGAATCACTCCCGAGGAAGACAGGCACCACTGCTGGAAGGGAACTGCACTCGTGGGGAGGGGAAGTGCGAGGAGATGTGGTTTACAGGACAAACACTTTTCTTTTTGGCCCAGCGTTCTGGAATTGATGCTAATGTGCCCAGGTGCCCACCTGCTTCCTTTTATAATGATCCCAGTGGGTCCCTGATCATTTCCAGTGTGTTCATGAGTTAATGAACTCACAGTGCTAACACCACTTCAGAATACTCACCTCGGCTAATGACACCTTGGGGGGAAAAAAAGGAAGCTTGACTTTCTCAATATTCTAAGGTCTCAATGTTCAAATAAGTAAAAGAATGATAAACTTAACTTACCTCTGTTACCATCATAAAAGTATGTATACACACGAGCATGATCCCATACGCTAAAATCATCAAGATCCATTTGCAAAAATAATCAGACACACATTTTATTTTATATGTCTTAATCGACCTTGCAAACACATTAACAACAGAAAAAAAAAAAAGATGGAAACCACTCATTACACAGAAAAAAAATTCAAGAGGTTAATTTGAACTCAACATTCTTGGGGCTCAGTTAAAAATATTGTTAAAATTCAAAAGGACAAACAACTCAAAACTAAACATTTCATTAATTAAAAGCAAGATCCTAAACCCACTAGCTATATAACTTAAAATCATCTTGTCTTCAACCTAGAAAAGCTTGATTCGACAACACATAATGAACAGGCAAGTCTACTATAGTGAGTAAACAAATTCGCTGTTACGAACAAGTGATTTTGAAATTTAAAGAGATCCTTCTGATGACTAAATTATCATTTTAAAAAAACTGCTAAATATGCTTGTTTCGATACTAATTGAGTCATAGAATTGGACATTAAAGGACATAGTGAACTGAAACACAAAAACACAAACTGAAACACAGTGAACTTGCCCACAAAATATTTTCCTGTTAACTGTTACTAAGCATGTAAATTAACTTAAAAGATCAAGTCTTAATTGTCTACAGCCAAAGAGAACTTTGGTATTAATAAATTAAAATTGAGAATCACCAATATACTTTGTTTCTAGCATTATAGGATGGTTTTTGGAATTAAATTGGAATGGCCTATTTATAAAAATGTGAAAGTTTCCTTGTCCTGTTACATACACTTTTGTGAAGAATGAACAGACTGACTGTTCTGAATTATTGATGTAAATAAAACACCAGCCTAAAATTTCTTCCTAAAAGATTGTTGGGTCATACTCAGCAATTTAGAGTAAAAGGTAAATAAAGAATTTAGTACTTTACTTTTAAAAACCTCTGTTCCCTTTGGATAGGAGCATCAAGATACTAAAATAAAAATAACTCCAGTAAGTCATTCCAGAATATATCAATTTTAGTTCTCCCATGTGATAGAGGGCTAATAAGAATAAAAAATAAATAAAAAGAGAAAATAAAACAACAAGTAAAAAATACAACGTTTTTTAAAATAACTGACTGGTCAAGGGGAGTAGGTAGGTTTAGGAGATCTCTTTTGAAAAATCCAGAGCATTATTATAAATCCTTCTTAAATTAAACCCAGGGCCAAACACACTGTATGCAGAATCTGGACAACTCCTGGATAAATTTTAAGGTTGCTGAATAACTTACAAAATAAATGAACACATTTTCATTTTAAGAGGCAAAAGAGAAACAAAATATTGTAGATTGCATAGCAATTTCAATTTTTGAAATGGTTATCCTAAACCATTTTTTTAAATTCATATTTTGCAAAATTCCTCCTCTCCAAGTCATCAAGTACACACTAAAAACAAGTGTAGTCATGAATATTGTGGACTAATTCTTTATAAAACATGCATTCTTCATAAATCTAGACCAAAGTGAAATCATTAAAAATTAATTTTAAATCCAGCTTGTGATTTCTGGATATAATATTAGGATAAAAATCCTTTGTTTTCTTTCTTTTTTTTTTTTTTAAAAGCATGTTTACTTCTCAAATAATTTAGTTTGGAAAATATTTATATTCTTAGTCAAAACATTACTTTTAGAGTCTAAAGGTTTTAAAAACAAAGTTAGTTTGACAACTGTCAAAATGAAATGGCTACAAACACTGACTGCAATTTCTTAACCCACAGAGATAAAAACCACTTCAGTCAAGCTCGGTTCACTTTAATTTTAAAACCATTTCTCTCTTCCAGCTTCATAAGTGGACTGAACATTGCCCAATGGTTCAACATTACCTATGTCAGAGCAAAGAGATGTGTTGTAAAGATGGCACGGGGCCTGAGAATGGTATAACGTACAATCAGCATTTCAGAGCTGGAAGGAATCTTTGAGATCTCATCCAGCACCCACATTTTACAGATGAGGAAACTAAGGTACAGACACCTTAAATCACTTGACCAAAGTCACATTCCTCAGTTGAGCCATTTGTTCATTCAGTCAGTCATTTACCCACTTACCAGAAGCTGCCTGAATGCCAAACTCAGTGCTAGGGACCGAAACTGGAAGGCAGTAGTCACATCTGTCAAGGCTGTCTTTTTTCCTTGCATGTTGAAGATAAATCCTTAAATATACTGACCAACAAGAACTTGCAGACGACTTCCCCAGCCTTTGTGAATCTGGCCCACTTTCACTTTCACACATTTCACTAAACACCATGGGGTTTAACTTCTGAGAGGCCTCAATGGTGTTTACTTTAAATGACTGAGCATTAACAAAGGGGGGCCTAGCATTCTGAAAGAGTCCCTTTCTAGCACATTCATAAGTTAAGGAAGTGCAATCAGAAAATGCCCTACACAAAGAAAACAAGTTAATAGAGAGGACAGGTCACAAAAATCAGAGGAATCTGAGGTATCTATATTATAGATTAAATCCAACAGCTCAAGTGTACAAAATGCGGAATGTAAATATCTCCCCATTTCATTTAGATATGAGTATAGTTTTCGGAGATGCCCATATGTTAAAAAGATCTCGAACTCATATTCAAACTTATGCCCTCTAATGTATGGTTCGTACACCTAAAACTAGGCCTCCTTCCTTAAGATCAACTTTCCTTGATTTCTATTAGATCAGAGAATACTAGATTAAAAGAGAAACAAAACCTAAAATTTAACGAGCTGGCTAAAAGAACTTCAAATTTTGTGTGTTCAAAATAGCAATAGCTCGAACTGTACATTTATGAATTTTAATAAAAATGGGATGTGCAGTGAACTTACCCATCCACATAGATCACACCTCATTTTGCTTGGACTTTTACATTACATTACATTTAATGTTAAGTCTGGCACTTAAAGGCTTTGTGTATCTCAATTCACAGTCAAGTTCTTTAAGGCAGAGTAAGAGACACATTGACAAAGCTTTTAAATAAAGCAATCCATAAGTAAGGCACTTTGAAACATTAAACAGCATCCCTCCCTGCACCCAGTTTCAGTGTAATATACTAGAAAGAACCACAGCTTCTCTGTGCACTCACAGATGACAGTCAAGGGACTTCTAAAATATAATCTTCACTGAGGTTCTCTGAAGGCTCTTTGACTTTCCTGTAGCTATCGTCAGCTCATGATGAAATTTTTGCTTTGCTCTTCTATTTCTCAAAACTCCAGATTTGATTTTTATCTAGAGCATCACAAGTTCTCATTTGTACACTAGGTCGGCCCTCAGGTGTCCGATAAGCACTAAGACACAGTCCTGAGTGTGGATGAAAAATGGTTCCATCTTCTTTAAAATGCCAGATAATGTTTGAGGGAATAGGCAACCCATCTTTAGGACAATTCTGCATTCCCACATAATTTTTTTGCTCCGGAACCTCTGCACATAACTCCGTCACAGAATTAAACCTTATTTCCTTGTTTGAAGTATATTCAAAGAATTGATTGCCTCCTTGACCATGGCATCCAAACAGGGAAAGGTTAGCACCTGTGGGATTGTTGTCAGGGGAGTTATAATCTAAACATTCAGAAGAGATCCCCGAACTGCGAATAGCCCCATGCCAGCCTGGCCTATCCTCTGGAACGTGCAAATTAGGAAACACAGTTTTCAAATACCAGTCAAAGCTCTTACATCTCAGCCGTTGGCGTAATAGTTTTCTTTCAGAAATATCACCGTAAGTCTCTTTCCTTGCTGGAGGGTTTCGATTGTAGAAATGCTCTTTGTACTCGTCCATCCACACTTCTGCTGCCCGAGCGGTATTCTGTAGGAAGTTGGGACGAGCATACGGTGCCCGCTTGGGGAACACGTGGCCCACGTGGGAACATGGGTGGATCTCCAATTTGCCACCACATTGCCACACCCTAAAAGACAGCTCGAGGTTTTCACCTCCCCAGACTTCCATCCCTGTGTCATATGTTCCGAGGTACTGAAAATACTTCTTACTGACAGCAAACAGTCCTCCAGCCATGGTGGGTGATCTGATGGGGTCAATTCTTGATTTCCTCCTGTCCCTTTCGTGTTTGGGGACAGAATGCCACTGAAACGTCAAACGCCAGTCAAACCCACCAATCATGGGCTCCCCGGTTTGCATGTAGAATTCAAAAGTATTCCAATCGATTGTGTCTATGACAGGACAGACAACTGCTGTTTCATCTCTACCAATCCTTTCCAAAAGTGGTTCCAACCAACCAGAATTACACTCACAGTGACAATCCAGGAAAGTGAGGACATCCCCAGTGGCAAAAGTGGCACCAATGAGGCGGGCCCTAACCAGTCCCTCTCGCTTATTTGTTCTAATCAAGCGAACTCTCTCGAGATTGCTGATGTAAGTCTCAAGCTGTGTCTTCAAATAAACTCTGTCACTCAAGTCATCCACCAAGATGATCTCCTTCAGAAGGACAGCAGGAGAAGTTTCTAGAACACTATGAATGGTGCGGAGCAGAGTTGACCAGGCTTCATTATAGAAAGCAATAATAACTGAGGTGGTGGGAAGTCTCCTATAGTTGAACTTCTTGGATTTACACTCATACATTCTTTTATCCTCTATGTGGCGGTGCAGGGAAATCCTGTCACTGAGGTAAATATTGATGGCATATCTCTCAATGAGTTCTTCTTGCTGCTTCAGTTCACCCTCGTTGAGCTGGAGTTTGCTGGCTTTCCCCCACTCCCCAAGTGCATGGGAATTTGCAGGGGGCTTTTCATAAAGTGGACGAGACAAATCCTCTGCCTGTTCCTGGTGATCCGGGAGCCGTCTTGAACCCAGCTCCCCAGCACGGCCGGTTCCTGGGGACGCATGGAAAGAGGAAACCAAGAACTCCACCAGGATATAGGCCACTGTTAGAATCGCCAGTAGCAGGCAGCTCCTGCCTGCCCAAGTCCACCTCACGGCCATCCGGATCCTCATGGCCAGGGCGCAGAGGCAGCCACCCAGCCACTACGCACGGGAAGGGCTGCGGAACGGCAGCTCGAGCTCCGGGCTCAGGTAGGGTGCACTTGCCAGCAGGTCCTTCCTTTCATGCAGGCGCGCAGCTCCCCTCCAGCCACCTGGGCTTTCCAGGGCTTACCTGAGACCTCTCGCTTCTCGGCCTCGGCACAGCCTAACTCCTCTCTCCGCACTTCCTCCTGTTAGTCTCAACTTTTCACAAACTCTCCAGCCAGCACCCCACCCTCCCCGGGCCGAGGACAAACCCCTCCCCTTCCCACACACTCCTCCTGGTGGTTAGTTTGCGAAAGTCGCTTGCCAGGCCCTGAGCGACAGATGGGCGGCTCTTGGCGGGGCCCGGGGCCGGGGGGACCGTTGCTCCCAAGCCCCACACAGGTCCTGTAGTTCTCTCTCCCAGGGGCCCAGCCTGCATCGGAGTAAAGGGTTCCGACCAGTTGAACGTTAGTTTTATTTCAAAAGAAAACAAGACTGAAACTTACCAAGTTGTTTGCCGTTGGGGCTGAAGTCCACAGTAGTGATCGCAGCTTTGTGGCCTTTAAAATAACGCTCCAGAACCGGGTCCTCCTGAGAAGGAAAGTTGTCACATTTTGAAAGCAGGTGCAGAACTCGACTTCTGGGGGGTGGGGATCAATGCTGCCCCTCCCCGGGGGTCCTGCCTGGGAACGGCCACCTAGGCGGTGAGTTTGCGCGGCCGGGGTGCCCACTACCCCTACGGGGAGATGCTGGGCGCCGGTGGTCCCTGCAGCAGCGACAAAATCCTCCATCCGCGCGTCCCAGAATCAAGCGCATCTCAGGGACCACCTGGGCAGCTCCTCTGAAATGCACGTTCCGGGGCCCCTCCCGCCGGGACTGAGCAGGTGGCGCCTGGGGTTTGGTATTTAAAAAAACTTCCCAGGTGATTCTGACGCAAGCGCTCCACGGAAACTCGGAGAATTCTGGAGGCCATGGGGCCGCCGGGCTCTGTCCGGAGCGCTGGGACCAGCGTTCGGGAGCCGGGTCTGGGCTGGGCGCTCCAGCGACCCAGGGGGCAAGAGAGTGAGACCGCGGACGCCCCGAGGCCAGGGGCGTAGGGCTCAGGACGTAGGGTTCAGGTCCCGGCTGCAGACACCTGCCTCCGTCTCCCGCCAGGTGCGGGGCGGTCCCCACCTGGCCTCGCACCCAAGGCTCCGGGGAGGGGGGTCCCCGCCCGGCCTTACCGTGGCAGAGGCCATGGGAGGAGTGGTCGGCGCCGGGATCCTGCGGGTGGGGGAGACCCGGGGAGGGGAGGGGACGGGGTAGGAAGGGGGACCGTGCGGCGCCCGGAACCGTCTGCCCAGAGTGGCAGCGCCTCCCGGTCACTACAACAACGGCGGCCCAGTCAAACCCCGCGCTCCAGGCATGTCCAGTCGAACCCCGAGACTCCGCGAGCGCCGGAGAGCGCGGGCCTCTGCGGGCAGGCGGTCTGAACGCTCACAGGTCAAGTAAGGCTTCACACCGAAGCCTACGGTTTACTAACACTCGCGTTTCCCCGGGTTTGACGTCCGGAAGGGGCTAATAACGAGGACAGGAATGAGACCGAGGAAAGCGAGGGGGATGGGAGCCTGTGATCGAGGCGATCAGCGTTCTATTACGTGTTAAAGAGACCGCGCCCGCGAGTTTCAAGCTGGTCCCAGTTTGTAATGATGAGGGAGCGAGATTGATATGGAGAGGGACCGCTTACTAGTTATCAATATGTTCTAGGAAACTAAATCTCTGAAGGACACATTTGAATTTGTTTAGGCCTCTTTTCCAGTGCCCTGCATGGCGTAGATTTACAGAGGGTGCCCCCTTACCAAAGTATACATACACATTTTAAGAAAGAACGAAACTGTACTAGAATTGTAATACTCAATAGATACCGATCACAAAAGGTGAGTACAAGGCCCGTTGAACACCTCTTGTAATTGCAGAAGTCAAACGTGCCTTGAGTGTTACAAACTTAATATATTTTTTTTTTCTTAAAATGTATATTCCTTTTTTTGGCACTCCTGTATGTAGGTGCTTGGGTACACCTGATCAGTAAATGAGACGAATAAGTGTCTATCCTCTTAATGCTTTTCTGTGAGTGTTTCTGTTCTTATCTGCTCCTTTGGTGGCTTAGAGCAATAAACTTACACAACAGCATATTTAAAGTCTTTAGGAAGACTTAGAAACGTGGTTTTTATTTGAAGTTATTGGACAAACTTTTTACAGCCTTTCTTACACTTAATAACATCTGTGCCTCAGAAAAACTCTGAAGTTGGTAGAATTTAAAAATACCATCAACATTTTCAAATTACAAACTTTATTCCTGGATATTGATCTTAGAGCTTATGTAGACACAACTCTTCCAAATCTAAGACCATATCCTTTTTATACCCAGCCTCAGAAGGTCTGATCTGAAAAATTACATATAAGGGTTCTTGACAGTATAAAATGGATTGGTAGAACACAGTTGGTAAGATATATACCTTCATTACAGATTTTCTAACTGTCTAGTGATTAGTTAATTCAAGTATAAATTTGTTGATTATTTGTCATTTGTTTAGCTTTAAGGGATACAAAGGTAACGGAGATTTTTTTCCCTTCCCCCAAGAACTCACATATAGGCTGGGCGCCCGTAGCACAGTGGTTACAGCATTGGCCACATACACCGAGGCTGGGTTCGAACCGTGTCTGAGCAAGCTAAACAACAATGACAACTGCAACAGAAAAATAGTCAGACATTGTGGTGGGCACCTGTGGTCCCAGCTACTTGGGGGGCTGAGGCAAGAGAATCGTTTAAGCCCAAGAGTTTGAGGTTGCTGTGAGCTCTGACACCACTGCACTCTACCCAGGTTGACAAAGTGAGACTCTGTCTCAATAAATAAATAAATAAACACATGCATCTAGGTTGATGAGTGTCATATTTGAGCATTTGTATTGTTGGTTTAGGGGCCCTATTCCCAGAGACATATTCAACGTATTTGGGCTGGGATCCAGAGCTCTACTGATACAATAAGCTCCATGGATGATTCCTATGGGAGCCTCAGCCATGTATATTAAGAAACATTGCTCTCCTCTTGGAGATGATGTGCTAAGTATTGATGCCAGCAACTTGTCAGCAAGCTGTGGCAGGTCCCTAAGTTTTGCTATTTAGCCCCAACCTCGGTTTGCCTTATATATATATTTTAAAAAGCCTTGCATGCTTGAAAATAATGCTGGCTACTGGTGGGAACGTAAAATGATATAGCACTGTAATTTGGCAGTTTCCCAAAAAGTTAAAGTTGAACATGAAATTACCTTATGATCCAGCAATTCTACGGCTAGGTATGTTACTATGTTACCAGCCTCCAAGTAGAGGTATTTTCAGATTCTTTGTGACCATAAAAAAAAGGATTTCAGGACACACTACATAGGCTAAGCAAGCCGCTTTTATTGAAAGTGAAAACGAAAGTACCTTCTCTAGAGAGTGGGCAGGCTGGAAGAACTCCAGCAGAAGGGAAAGGGGATTTCTGCCTTAAGAAGTCTCACTAATTGAGACTTCTCACTAATTGAGGGGAGGCTAAGGGGCTGATTTTTCCCCTAAGAATTGGGGTAGTAATTGCTAGAATTGGGTTCCCTCCCATTTTCATACTTTATATAGTTGTTTCAGAATGTCGTGGCAATTTCAAGGGCAGAGGACTTTTAAAACCACGATGACAATGACATTGTCAGGAAACAAAGTTTGACCCAGACAGCCGAGGGGCCAGGTGAAGCTGGGCCTTGTGTGTGGTTAACAACCCCCACCGGAGTTAGATTTTAACACCTGCACCCAGTCTGCCAGCCCTGGCATCCTGCTCCGAGCTGCTTCTGCCTGCAGGTGGTTTATTTCAGCACCCGCACCTGCACTGCAAGCCCCTGCATCTGGTCTCAGCCCCGTCTCCTCACAGATACCCTACAAGTGTTGAAAACAGATACTCCAGTGGATGCTTGTGCAGCAGTGTACATAACGGCATGATTTACAACAGCCAAAAAGTGGAAACAACCCAAGTATCCAACAGACGACTGGATAAACAAAATGTGATGTATACATATAAGGAAATGCTAACCGGCCATAAGAACAGGAGTGAAATTCTGATACATGCTACAAGGTGAGTGAACCTGGAAACGTTATGCTAAGTGAATAAGCCAGACACAACAGGACATGTATTGTGTGATTCAATTTCCACGAGGTACCTAGAAAAGGTGAGTTCATAGAGGCAGAAAGTAGAAGTTATGGCGAGCTGGGTTATGGGAGACTGGGGAATTACTGTTCAATGGTTTCTGTTTGGGATGGTGAAGTTCACACATCACTGTGAATGTACCTTCATGCCAGTGAATTTTACATTAAAAAATGTGCAAAATGGTAAATTTTATGTTCTGTTTCTTTTTCTTTTCTTTTTTTTTGAGACAGAGCCTCAAGCTGTCCCCCTGGGTAGAGTGCCGTGGCATCACAACTCACAGCAACCTCCAACTCCTGGGCTCAAGTGAGTCTCCTGCCTCCACCTCCCAAGTAGCTGGGACCACAGGTGCTCACCACAATGCCTGGCTATTATTTTTGGTTGCAGCCATTCTTATTGTTTGGTGGGCCCGGGCTGGATTCGAACCTGCCACCTTAGGTGTATGTGGCTGGCGCCTTAGCCCCTTGAGCCACAGGCGCTGAGCCTATGTTCTGTATTTTATGTTCACCAGAAAAAGAATGCCAGAAACTGAAGTGTCATCAAGACCTTAGGATTGCTCATAGCCATGACATATCTAATATTGGGCACAGCAAAGGAACAGAAAAAGGAAGAAAAGGATTTAAAAATCTCATTCAAATGAGAGAATTTAAGTGTAGATTTTTTTCTAGGTCTTTTAGTAGAAGTTTTGTTTTCTTTTTTTTGCTTTTTCCCCAATTATCAAAAAACACATTTTTTAATTGAAAATATGGGGGATGGGGAAAATTACTGATCATTGTGTCACTTGATCTTTAAAAATGTGCTGTCTAAAATGTCCTCATTACATGCTAGTTACTCCTTTAAGTACCTTACAGGTTTTTGACATTTAATTCTCATAACAATCTTATTAGATGCTGTTATTACCGTTGCCGTTTTACATAGGAAAAAAGTGAAACGCAAAGGCATAGGGTTACTTGCCCAAGGCCCTTAGCTTAAAGTTAAAGAGTTGAGGCTTTCAGACACCAGTCAGTCGGCCTCCAGAATCCAC